TAACTTTGGGAACTCTCCTCAGCTAGTTAGCTGTGTAATGAAAAAACGCCATATTTAGGCGCTTATTTTTCGTCTACAATAGGTTACAAGGTGCATTTGATATCTTTTCAAAGCTCACAGGTCCTAAACACCATATGGTTTTGAATCTATGGCTTTGAGTCTGGTGGATTTGCGGGATCGGCAGTGCCAATGTACGTCGGATGGTTTTCTGGAGTTGTACCTCTTTCCCTATAGATGGGTGGATACACACCATAGGTCACGTGTTTTGTATGTTATTTGACGACTTTCTGGATGGTTGTCTTTGCACAATCACGTGAAAGTGGAAACAAGCCATACTATGTCAAACAATGACTTGACATGGAGTTTGCAAGCCATTAACAGCAAGCGCAGTTGCTCCAGCCACTGCCGTTTCCATAGATGGATGCCGCAAAGGAAAACACCAATGTTTGGAGACATTATCAAACATAGTCGTGCTTGTGCACTTTATCTACTACAGTGATGCTTAGTGATCTAGTACAGCTCGCTTCAAAATGCGTTCCATCACTTTGCATGGAAATTGTCAATTTGTAGCGTCTCTATCCGAAAACTTTCAAGAAATAAGAACTCGGATTTTAAAGTATGCTCTTTAGAAAACATACTTTGGCCAAAAACGACGGTCCGTTTGGAAGCTTCAGCTTAATATCCTGTAATTTCTGAGGGCCGCAGTAAAGCGACAATTTTACCGATAAAGGGCTGGGATGTTATCCAAAAAGCTATGGTCACTGTCTTTTTAAAAGCATGTTTCAAAAGGCGACTGTGTTTGTGCTTGGGTGGTCACTCTTCTCACTCCCACTTTATCAAGATATTCTCAGTTGTCTACAAACGATGACTGAAGACCAGTTGAAAATATCCCTGAAGAAGAACAGCGGGAAAAACTTCTTTTGTTCCATATTTCTTCCCAAATCCACGGCTTCTACCAAAGCCTGTGAATTCCTCAACCAAACCCCAACGATTACAAATATTGTGCTATTTCTTGAAATTTATATTGAACGGCACAGCACACTATAGCCACAATATTCAGGTAGCATACATAGAACGAGATTAGTAAGAGTTCATACTAGAGCACTGACGATTTTAAAAACGCTTCTCGATTACAAAAATATGATTAAAAAAGGTTTGCCCGTGCTGCTCTTAGTTCTGGAGATTCACCGAAAAATAACTTTGGGAACTCTCCTCAGCTAGTTAGCTGTGTAATGAAAAAACGCCATATTTAGGCGCTTATTTTTCGTCTACAATAGGTTACAAGGTGCATTTGATATCTTTTCAAAGCTCACAGGTCCTAAACACCATATGGTTTTGAATCTATGGCTTTGAGTCTGGTGGATTTGCGGGATCGGCAGTGCCAATGTACGTCGGATGGTTTTCTGGAGTTGTACCTTTTTCCCTATAGATGGGTGGATACACACCATAGGTCACGTGTTTTGTATGTTATTTGACGACTTTCTGGATGGTTGTCTTTGCACAATCACGTGAAAGTGGAAACAAGCCATACTATGTCAAACAATGACTTGACATGGAGTTTGCAAGCCATTAACAGCAAGCGCAGTTGCTCCAGCCACTGCCGTTTCCATAGATGGATGCCGCAAAGGAAAACACCAATGTTTGGAGACATTATCAAACATGGCCCAGTCGTGCTTGTGCATTTTATCTACTACAGTGATGCTTATCTCCCCTCTAAATCCCTCCACTTAAGGCCCATGTATCTACACGTTTATGATATCAGCTACCGTCTCAAATGGGCAGCTAAGTACTCCGTCTCCCCAAATTTTCAGTGAAAGAAACTGTGTCAGCAAGAATCACTGTGCGGCAAGTACGCAGTTCTTACAACTGATGATAGCAATAATGATAATGTTGTCCAATGAAAAAACCAAAGAACATGCCCGCCTCAAGTAAAAAAGTAGCAACCTAACTTATTTCGCGCAACCTATTGATATCGAATGCATCAAACTATCACAACTTCAACTCCACCGTTCCTAAAAATTCCACGGCTTGTAATATCCGCCACCAGTTACAGCAAGTGCAATTAACTCTGCATGAACAATTTAAATGATCAGTTAAGCAAACAGTATCCGATGTCAACGAATTTGAAATGAAAATAAATTTGATCTCATATGCTAATGCTTCAGCTTTGACTACTAAATCCGCACAAAATACCATGGTACGCGTCAGTTCTCTGTCCATTTTGAAGCTTTTTTTCGTCGATTCCCTATAAATTCAAACCTATTCCTTCATACATTAATCCTCAGAAAGACAATTCCTCCTTTGAATGACTCGCAATAATTTGTGAAGTCATTATCAGGACTTTATTTGCGTGATAATGTGTCGGGGACTTTCGTTAAATTTGCGAGTTATCAAGCCATTTTGAGTGGTAAAACAAATATATGCAGTACTAAATAAAGGGGGCAAGTTGGTTTCATTACATGGAACAGCCAATTAATCAGAAAAGCGAATGAACATTACAACGGAGCAAAGATTATGGGTAAAATAGAGAAACAAACTTTAAATGTGACAACCGTAGACGTTCAAACCATATTTTGGCAATAAAACCAACGTAGTTTCTGACTGTTTTGGAATATAATCGAAGTAGAAAATTCCATTTCAGAACAATAAACCGTTTGACGAATTGGACTAGTTCGAACAGCCGTCAAATTTATCCGAATAGTTAGCACCAAGCTCAAAAGTATGTGGATGGAACGAATGAAGAATAAAAAAGGCTGAAAGTGTTAGTCAGCGAAACACCCGTTGTACCACATAAGATGAGCGTCAGTGTTGTCGACACTTAATCACATCTTCAAAAATTTTGTAAATCTATTTAAGGGTGAAAGCAGTCTGTCGTGTTTATGTTATGATTTGACCTAAATTTGGCTCTGCAGATAGTAATACAGAAATAGGATAATCTCATTTTTCTCTCCATGGATACACATCACCAACGTTTAAATTTAGCAGCGAATGAATCTGTGCATAAGTTGAGATCTTATTAGACCCAAGAGGCCATTTTCAATGGCTTTAGACAGAGCCATGGGATCCCGGAACTCATTCATCATAATTATGCAATAGCTTTTGCCAATGGATAATAGGGACCAATGTTAATTAAGTGAATAAAAATCCTCCATTTTTCGGTCTCTGTCTCCATTGAATTACTAAACCAAAGGTGTTGTAGTACTTATTATTAGAAAGTGAACGAAAAGCAAAACGCCTCACATATCTTTTGTTCATCGATTCTTTGCAAATATCCCCACTTTATTCTGAGTTGATTGAAAACTCCAAGATAGCTTCTCTTCAGTTGAGGCATTTCCGCAAAAGTGTCACTTTTTGGTGGATCACAATAGCCAGCCATATGAAAACCACAAAAGACTAAAGGTATATTGGGAAAAATTCTCTAACAGTAGTGTATTACATCAATAATGTCGAGGAAAGAAAGCTCATTTGCAATGGTAAAATCCCTGGAGCACTGATATCCCCAAAAAAACGGCGCGAAGGCGTACTTAAGATGCTCACGGTTAATTGGATGTAAACATCTTATGAGTGGGCCAAAATTGGTCAGTATGATAGGCTCTGGCATTCCGCTTTCCGCAACAAGTCTTCTCACTTGCATGATCATAATTACATAAATTCACTAAGACTGTATCAGTAGAATAGGCGATACAGTCACTGGCAATTATTTTGTCATCAAATTGTTCTGCTGACTTCGAGCTCCCTATGCTCAGGATAGAGGTCATGCAAGCATCAGATGAATTATTTTGTCATCAAATTGTTCTGCTGACCGCGAGCGCCCTATGCTTAGGATAGCGGTCATGCAAGCACCAGACAATAGATGAGAAGAAACATGGTACCCCATGGCCTTTTTTCGGTCCCCTTGTCAGACTGGTATCTTACAACTGCAACACTGCGATTGTGAAGGCTGTATTATTTGAACCCATTCATGAGTGGTTAGTTTAATTTCATATAGCCTGACGATCGTAAGCAACTACGTCCTTATCGATGGTGGCCAATGTAACAAGCAACTGTTTGGTCATGAACCAAATAAAAATTACTGATTTTGAAGGTCAACATGTGTGTGATCAGTAAATTATTTTGCGAATTTGCGAATTTTTCAACTCATCTTTCGGTTGTGGTTTGGTTTGAGGGGCTAAAGATAATGTGACAAAATGAAGAATCATGCCACCTCGTTTCCATGCTACAGTCCATTCAGAGCAAAATGAATGACGGTGGATATTAGGATGAAAAGATTCTCAAGAGGTTTTTGTTATGTAGCACAATGAGAAAAACGCACAAAAAGGTGTGATTCTTTTGTAAACTTTGGTATTTTCAGTGCGTTTTGTCCGAACGTTGCAACTTAACATTTTTATTTTATTGCCTTACAATGCATAAGTATAAAACAGGGGCTTTTATTTGATCACAATGGTTGAGGAGAACTGCTTCGTCTAGGTAGTCATGAGGAATTATCACAAGCGGGCAGTAAGTTTACAGCAGTAGATTTACTACTGAGAACTGTCCACAATCTTTGCTGTTCATTTTGACAAAATTTTATATTGATCTTACTCTTCATTTCCAGCTATTCAATCCATTTAAAAGCTGTCATCAACTATGGAAGTCTACATTCCACCAAAATTCCGCAACATATTCGACTTCGAAGAATTTAACAGCGTTCAGTCCGCTTTGTGCCATGAAGTACTTTATATTATGTGTCACCTCTGCAATGAGAAGATATTTTACTCACCCAGGTCTCTGATTGTATCTGCGCCAACTGGATGCGGAAAAACAGTCATTTTTGAGCTCAACTTGATCAAATATTTAATAGACTGCGAAAATGCAACAACAGAAAGCTCTACCTGTGTGGTTTACAGTGAGTTTGCGCGCGAAAACTTTGGATTTTACAAGTCGCACCGCTCAAATCTTTGTGCCATGAAAAATTCACCGAATGGCAGATGAAATTCAGCCCTGCGAATTTGAAGTGCATCATGTATACGGGTGATAGTGAACAACTCGACAGAGATCAATTAACCAAAATGGCACTTATTGTTACCACTCCGGTAATCCTTGGTTATGAGCCAAAATTTATTCTCTGTATTCAGGAAAAGCTGGATTTTCTAACGAAATCTTCTGATGAAGAGCTCAAGCTACTTCCGATGGTGCGGTACTGTTTTGTGGATGAGGTAATAAAACTTGTTATCCATGCGATGTTGTTTGGTTCAGCTTCTTGCGAAGTTTTTCTGTGAGTGTGACGTTCCTGCTTACGCAACCAAATTCTTTCGGCAAAATATTGCTGTTTTATCTGCTGATTCGTCAATCTGTGGTATCTGCTGCTGACCCGCTCCAGTGCCTAGTTGCCGGAAAATAGACTCACAGAAGGGAACAAAGCAGCAGTATTCCGAACAAGCGAGTGCGAGATCAAAAGTTACAACGGCCCCACGACGCCATTTAGAGTGGACTTTCTGACATTAATCCAGGCTGTCTGACAGGCGTTAGTGAACACCCGTCTATGAAATGCCTGAACGCTGATCACATTCGGTCGTGCTTCCGTGGCGTGCATGAACACTCATCGGCTTTTGCTGAATTGATTGAATGATTGGCTTACCTAGGTGCTTGCCGGCTTTCCTGTTGAGATTTTGGTGTAGCAGTAGGTTCCGGGCGTTCTGAGGCTACCTTCAAAAGTCTTACATTCCTGATATTTACATGCCGAGAGATGATACTTTTTTGTACCACTGTTGACAGTTTTTCACCATTGCCAAGAAGTTCACCGGTATGCACTTGAAAGTACCCAGCGTGTTCACATGAAAATTCGAGCAAATTCCTCACCAAATAACGGAAATTCGTGTCCTACACTAAATCATCAACGGAAGTGGATGAAACTGGACAACCTCAGTCCTTTAGGAAGAAGGTGGTTGCGTTCTCTGAAATCTTTCATAAAATATGATCAACCAAACGGGTGTAAAGAATGAAGGAGAACAGGAGAACAATGGCATCACCTTAAGGTGCCGCCTAATTGAGAGGTGTATTGCTAATTTTTTCGTCATAAAACTCCAATCCATTGTGATGCAACTTCACTGGAGGTTCGCAAATCGTTCAGCTGTAGTACCCTTCCGGTGCCTTGCCACCCGAATGAGGCATTAGCTGTCATGCCACCCGAATGAGGCACGAGTGCCGGGATACTGCCTAAACAGGGGAAGTCCATGGGCAGAGGTCGGGTTTGAACCGCGGACCTTTTGGTTAGTAAATTCGTGCACCACCCACTTGGCCTATCGTGCTGACTGACAGTTCTGCATCTCTGGGTACAACCCCTAACTCAGTTTTCTTGTTAGACGTGTATGCGTCTTTTCAATTAATGTAACAATCGAGTAGCGATACAAAGTACATGTCAGTTAGTACATAAGATGAGCATAAGATGAGCCATTTTTAAAGGATGTGAAAGTCATAACTGATAGTCTTCGTCTAAATGAACCACCCTTTTGTCTACCCCTGACAAGGTATGGCATCTCCGTGTCCTAATGACTAAATCATAGTCTTAATAAGCCTCTGGTGTTCCTGTATATATCCATAAGCCATATGGGCTGCACACCCAAGTATCAGCGTTGTAATCATGACAACTAGGCAAGTTTAAGCAAGTGCAAGAATTGACGAAAATCCCGGAAGCAATTTCCATGGAAGAATATGATTGGCACAGACCGCTCTTATTTACGGTTTGGTAACTTCTACTCAACGACAAGACAATATTAATATTATGATCAGAATAAGCGGGCACACCGAAGTAATAATGGCATGGTACTCACATAGGAAAAGTCTGTATTAAATGGCAAGCACTGGATCACATAACTTCTTTAGTGAGCGAGATGAGTTTACTGACCATACTGAGCAGTCAACTTCAATCTGATGCATACATTCAGAGACTAGGCCATCCATTATTACTCCCTGTTGTCGTGAGTAGACGAAAAGGCGATTCATTTGAACGAAAATATTAGCACTGAGTGCGATGACCATATATCCGTCATGAAGACTGACTCATTGTCTACAAAAGTTTCAGTGCCGGGAAAAGACAACCCGGAAACACAATACCCTAGTAGATACTTGGGACTCGCAGACGGCCAAGATGGTGTAACCAGCCCTTCGAGTTCACGTCGTACTATTTGTTGAAGGGTCACCAATAATTTTTTCAACCTCAGAAAGGAATTTACGTACATATATATATATATATTCGCTTTCGATGTTAACTATTAGTTAAAGTGCCACATGATGTCCTACAAAGAACGAAGTGCCTCACGATAAAAGTGTAGTCAGTCAATTAACGGAGCCCATTAGTTGAAGTTGCAAGTTGATTTGTGTGTACAAATGCAAAGGCCTTGGATGATGGAGCAACTTACTAAAAGTATGTTCATACGTGCCTCAAAACGAGCGCCTTTAGTCTAACACAAATAAATCGCCAGGCTTTTAGTGTGATGGAATTTAATGTGCAGTAATATAAACGGTGATACGGCTGTACAACCACACATAGGGTAACAATGTACTACACAGAGTGCCAAGTTAATAAACGTTTAAAACAAATGTTACGTTCAACAGTAAAGAAAAAACTATCGAACATTTGCCTCTCGTCACTCAGATTGGCGGTGGCATGGTGGTATGTACTCGAGCTTATCTATAACCCTCATAAATGAATGCTTCACAGATGCATGGAATTTGCATTTCCTACGGGGCTGCTTCTCATTGAGAGGATCCACCATATAAAACAACAAATTACATGCATTTTTTGTAGCAAAACCACGTCATATTTGACGAAAAAACGTTATTAGCCACAGCGGCGTGAAACGTTAATTGAAGGTGGCTAGGTTACACCGGGTTTGACAATCCTGGCCACATCCATCTGCACGGATGTCAGCTTTGCATTGTGGTGTTAAAGCATCATGCCTCTCACTAGACAAAATACAGCTGGTTGAAGTCGGAGGCACTAAATTGTACAGATGTGTACACAAATCTTGTACCCTACAGCAATTTAAGCAAGAGTTTCGAAATTTTCATTAGTTTGGCGCGAGGATCGGCCCTAGATCTTGTTCCCTTTCATGTTTGCAAACGATTACACCAAATATGCGTGCTTCTTATCTTCCAGATTCACTTACTGCGTGATCCAGAGAGAGGGCCTTTACTAGAAGCTTTGGTCACCAGGATAAAAGCCATCTCTAACCCGCGATTTGTGTGTGTCTCGGCAACAATGGCGAATTCCGAGGATGTAAGTCTTAAAACCATCATTGACAACCCAAACATATCCCATGAAAGTTGGCTACGTGGTTAAGCATCCCTTCAAGGGGAGCTGTGTTCTACAAGTAAGCTAAATTCTGACTCAGTAATATCAGAGAAATAGCTTTGGAAGCGAATTTCGGCCAGGATTGGTGCAAAAAATTGTACTAGGTTTCTACAGACAAAAGTCCCAGTCCATATTTCAATTTGACAGCGTGCTGAATTACAAACTAGCCAGTGTGATCGCAACTTACTCCGAGAACAAGCCTGTTTTGATTGTAAGTTGTTGACGGACGGTCAAGTTTTATTTCATCAAACAGTTCTGCACAACCAGAAGAGGAACTGTTCAGGTTGCACGTGACCTGACAAAGAACAACCACTTCAAAACAGGGACAATGTTTGATGAAATGAGATCATCTTTTGCTGCAAAAATAAAGGATTCACAACTGCAAGGTGAGTTAAACCAATGCTTTTTCGCTAACAAAGACTAGTGGCTGTTGAATTGGTCCATAAGTTGCAGATAAGACGCGTTTGTAACATGCTGACAACCTACAAACCTATTTTCTCCAGCTCATAGTTGACAGGATCAGTGTACGGAAAGACGCTATCCAATCGAAATCGCTAGTCTTCGTGATACAGATGTAACTGTAGTGTATACGTATGCCCAATATTCAGAATTCCGAATCACTAAGGATTTTTGAATTTTTTACCATTTTTACCAGTTGATTAGATGAAAATCTCAGCTGTCTTCACACATTTTCCTAGAACTTAGCAGAAAAGCCTGTGCACTGATTCCTTTGAAGAATTTTAGTTTCTTTCAAGAGAACTGTCCACCTAAAAAGGCATCAGCCGGCCGATGATGCAGTGCATATCGATGGTATGTACCATCGATATACATTACATTATCGACCGGCTAACGCAATTTTAGATACCCCATCATTTACAAGGTATGGGGTTTCTATGCCTTACAGCAAAATCAAACGTCATTATGATTTCTTGAGCTTAATACCACGCAAGAGTTGTGGTTTCCGCTGTATATAGAGAAACTCTGATGGCAAAGAGCACCACTGAGCTCTAAGTTGAACCTGCAAATGTCCAAAGTCCGAAAATACAGTAAGTCAGTCCCCATAATCTTCCGTCTTCGCATAGCAGCTGTGCGCCGAGATAACCTTTTAAAGAGACTTTTTAGTTTCTTGTGGCTTTTTTTTTTTTTTTTGTTTGTACTGCTATAAGGATGGCTAGCTTAAAAGCATCAAAATAGACTTCTGGACTCTGCTTTTTAGGGTGAATGATCTTGTCGAATGTTTCCTCACTGGAAGAACAAAATTTGTTATTCGGGTACTCTCTGAAACAGGTCAAAAATACTAATACTCCTACTGGAAATAATGTATGGTCTTCAATAATCATACTAACCACACCTACTGAAATCCATGAAGACTGTTGACCTGTTCAAATGACTGGTTTCCGAAAACTGTCCCAAATGCTTCTAACTTGAATCACAAGCAAATGAAATTCAAGGTGATCCACCGTCCACGTATTTCCAGCAATTGTTCTATCAACCTTCAGCCTATCTTAAACTTCTAAAAATAACAAACTGCGGAGGTCTGGTTAGCTATTGAAAGCGTCAGGCTACATCAAAATCTCAAAACACATTGAATTTTTCCGGTTTATGTAGATGTCCTTAAAAATGGTGTTGGATATCACCATGCGGGCCTAGATGCTGATGATCGTCGCGTGGTTGAGCAAGCATTCATTTCAGGATGCCTTCCTATTCTGGGTAAGCAGCATGCGTAATATCACTGTGAACCATAGCTTCCACAAGCACCCTTTCGATGGGAATGAATCTACCAGCTCATTTGGTAATCATCAAAAACACGGAACAGCTAATCAACGGTCAGCTAGTCGGATACAGTTCAACGCAAATCTCACAAATGATAGGACGTGCTGGCCGTCCACAGGTGAGCAAACCATTACAATGTAACCGTGTTAATAGCAGCATTATTGTTCTGAAAGGACCGTTAACCCGATGAATGATTATTGGTGCTTCCCATGCTTCCTTTGGATATGATGACTGGTTATTTTATTTGGGGCTATTATTGTATTGATGAAGTGTAACCGTAACTACTAAACGTTCACGGCGAACTCTCCAACCAAAATGCCTGTGGCAATACCAACACGACCAAGTTGTCACTTGAGTAAGGCCTTTTAAGTTAACTGCTTGAATATAAACTAAGCGGGTCACACAAAATGAAGAAAATCCGGTAGTTTGAAAAATCCAAAAATGGTTTATTCGAAGTTCGGTTCTGTTTTTTTTCAATAGATGCATATTTAACACTTCTTAGGTTTCCCCTCATTTCACTGTGCCATGTTGTGTTTTCGTAGCCTATCAGAAAAATTTGTCATATGCTAGTATAGGTTTTCTTCAAGTGTGCTATTTCTCCTACGAGGTACATGCTGAATCACTTCAGTAGGATGCCACTCACAGTGAGCTGGCTACTGTATTCATTAATGCACTTACAACCGGGCTGCGGAAATAGCTGGCCTAAAGGCGACGCACGGAGAAATCCCACACCGCATAATGCTCTGGGTTCCGTAGTATCAGGTAGAGACGGTTCTATGGTACTGCAATGCAAAACTTTGGCGCCAAGGCAGTATTATCAAATACCCCGATAATGTTTTTTTCGGTGCAGCAGGGTAGAGGAGAAAAACTACAGCTGGGAGAAAGACTGAGATTTATGTCAGCAATGAGTAACACTCTGAAAGTAGAGGAGTAGTGGACCATTGGGGGCATTTAGAATATGACGCACTTGGTGCAACCAAGACTTCCGTTAAAAAAGATTAACCAGATAGATATCATCCGAGGTTTAATGCGAAGAATAACGCCGCGTAAGCCATGTGGCTGTCAGTACATAGTAGTCTGCGTGACAGACTACGAAATACAAGCCAGCAGAGCCACCAAAGCTAGTTGGGGTTTTGCAATCACTTTTCCAATTCTATCATACAACCGCAATATGCCAAACTGGCGTGATTAAAACCAGACTGTCGCTGCATACATAGAAGTGCTGTGCAGAATATCACACCATCCTAAATCCAGCGTGATTGTCTCAGTCGAAACAATAACAGAAACCTAGCCAACGTGTAGCCAAAGCTGATTAGCACAGAGAGGGACCTGTATGATCCTCATGCTAAGTTAAAATGGATAAATCTATTACCAGTGGCAGTGGGCATTTTCCCCAGTATTCCAAGCTACCTAGTTTCTAAGTCTCCTCCAAGTTTCCTTTGCCAGTGGATGTCGAGGAGTTTGGAGTTGTTATATCCGAAAGCAGCTATTTGTCAGTTAGGACACTCGTGATTGTAGTATGGCATTAGTTTTTTGTTAGTCATAAACTACGGTGGGTTACATGATACATGCACCACATGGATGCCAACTGACAGTTCTTGTGGTGACATTTCCCCATTGTAGGCCATAGGGGCAGAGCAAAGTTGAGTAGCAAATCGCGTATATATACATATATATAAGCCATCCATATCTGCTGCAAATAAGAAGCTGCGTTTTTGTGGACAGAAACCACAGGAGTAGTAGAAAGTTCAGTAAGACTAGTTCCGTGGAGCAGCTGTGTAATGCAGCTTTGAAGCAACGTGACAAACATACGGACCGAATTGCGGAGCAGCTTTCCGCTCTTTGTGGGTCTTAGCTCAACTGACATATCAGTATGAGAATGGAACAAGCAGAACGTCGGTCTGATACAACAAACACGGCGCTTTTCTCTGTCTATATGCGTGAATTCTACTGTCGTGTGAAGTGCTAGAAAAAAGTGCATAGTTATTTCGATACCTGGCTGGTAATTCAAACGTCAGACATGGTTGCAATATAACCAACTACTTGTGCGTGATGTTCCATCGTAGTTTTACATCGAAATATGCTGGACGCAACGATTCGCAATCAGTTTTGAGTGGATACACGCAAGCCTTGTTTTTCTTCGGTAGTGTCAATACACTACTTCGTTTTGTACGAAGTCTTCGTTGTTGAACTGAGGAAATATCACACCCTTTTTGGTGACAGTGTGCTATTTTGTCGGGCATTAGTTTCAGGGAAACTGGATGACATTCTCACCCCGATTACGTCACATCATCGAAAGTGCTTATCAAATTCAAGCACTGTTGATGTGATTTTATTGCCCCTTGGATATTAAGTGCAACCTAGTTTAGTCCTATTATCAAAAAGGTTCCGGAGCCACCGGCTAATTTGCCCGAAGAGAAATTTGGTATTTTCTGAAGGTAGCGTTTCTTGTCGCTCTTTTCGGAGTAAAGTCGAACCGAAGTGCGCGATGGCGGTAACTTCCATCCTACCAATCAAACTACCGCCATCGACGTTGGTCGCAGGAGCGTTTGGTTCACTTCCGCGATGTCACTTTAGTCCACTGATCTTGAATACTTATCACCCAAAAAAGGTCACCTACAGTATTTGAAATGTTGAGGCATAAAACTTTGCACCCAATAGTGTTTCCCTTCTGTAACTCACGGAGACCTTGTGGTACTAGAAACAAAGTCCATGGTTGTAGTGGTCCTCGTAAAGATTTATGTGAATCTATTGCGAGTTGTGTTGTTATCGTGTATTGCATGATTGTTCATGCCAATCACCTCAAGTGACAAGACTCTTAAAAGAGTTCAGATCCGTCCGTTCCAACCCAATCGACACAAAGTATCTCATGAGTGACTACAGCGCTATGATTGTTGTACTTTTATTCATGACATCTTGCACTCTACCTCTGTTTTTTTCATCCCAACATTGGAGCATACTCTTCACCATTAACTTAATCCACACATATTTCATTTTTAGTTTGATTCCAAGGGCATCGCTGTGGTTATGACGTCCTCGGATTTGAAGGTAAGGTCTGATTACGGCGTTATTGTTAGCTAACGATACAAATCTAGACGCATTACGAAACACTACTCCATCAAAATGACGAAATCGAAAGCTGGTTTGTAGTGCTTTTCAATGAAAGCTTCTTTACTTTCTTTGAATTAGCCTGCGGACAAAGTTATCAGAATACATGAACACAGAAATTGCACTTGGCGTGATAACCAACCTGTCTGAAGCTGTAAACTGGCTAAAAAGCACTTTCTTTTATGTAAGAATCAGAAAGAAGCCACGACTTTACGGTTAGTCGGTCATTGCTACTTTGACTGTTTATGTTTAAACGTGTCACACTACTCATTCAAGTTAGTTGACGAGGTTGATAAAAAGTAGAACAAAGTAGCTGCCAGTGGCTCCGTTGAACTATCTGAAAATTCTACCTTTACACTTTGTTACATGAATTACTATTTTTTCATTCGAAGGACTAATCCTTGTTACTGTTACTTTTTAGCAATAAAGACGACTACTACAATATTTCTCGAAGAAATGCTCATACAAAGAAGCGCCACTTTTCGGGAGAGTCAACAATATGGCTTTTTTGCATCCACACCCTAGTGTTTCATCCACCTGAGCGGGGTTTATCTTCCAAAAATACTTTTCCCCCGGTGGTCCCTCTTTTAAGGAATACTGGCTTGCCCTGATTAGTTGTAAAGTTGTGATCTAGCTATTCATTGGAAGGGAACTTGTTTTCCGCAACTGACTTATGGATTCTTACGAAAGACCTAATAATCACCATACTATGAACTTCGAGTTTCACCGGTTAGTGTGGACATCGGAATAATTCGCCACTTCCTTGAAATGACCAGCTTCACAAGTATAGTCGGTTGAAACCTAGTCCCGAGATCAGCATAGTGTCTGTTAGGCGGAAGTTCACGTTGCTCCCAGCTAATCAAGTTAGGATTTGGTTGGCTTTGAAGAGCGCTCAGAAAATATGGAGCACAGAGATAAGGGGTTAGTTGAAAGACTGCAGCTGAATGCTGCTACGCTAGTTGAATGATGAAGACTTAAATTCGACATTACGGAGGCCTAATAAAGGAAATTCACGGGCGTGATGTGTCGGCCCTTAACATTACTGTGTTGACTAAAGTGATGAATATTTTCAAAATGCGCCAACATGAGCCTTATAAGCATTTCTCAGCGAGTTAAGCCCGGTAACTCGTTCTCTTCGCTCTCTAACACGAAAGTAACACGGAAAATATTTGTGTCTCTCTAATTGTGAAGACTCAAGGTCGAGAGGGAAGGAGCACAGACATACAGGGAATTGGCTATACCAGTGTCTTTTCGAATATATGAGCAGTAAAAGGAGGGTTAACAATGTATTTTTCAACCACAAAAACAAGATACAAGCTTCTGATGGACAGCTATACAGCAATTCTTGGCACTTGGAAACAGGTTGACTTCACTTGCAGATATTTTGAAAGTAAAAGTTATCTAGAGCCACCTCGAAAGTGCCTTAAAGCTACCCAGGTGATATTCGCTGGCTACAGTTTGACCCTATTTGAGCAATGAAACACAGCATAATTTGCACAGACCAAATATCTGTCCACTGGTTTCCAGTACCAGAGATCCCAGGTACACACTCTCCAGCTAATCAAATCCAGAATCCATAGTGGCGTAATTTTCAGCCATCACACATCACATCAAGCATTAAGAAAAAAACAGCGTTTTAGGATCAGAGTTTTAAGTTATCGTTGTCCACTAAGGCTTATTTATCTTAGTTTCACCCAGACGCTTCCTGCGTTAAGACGAACCGATTTCGTTGATGCAGCACTGTGCTACTGCATCAAGCACGACTGCTAGTAACAAGACTGTCACTAGTGTCAATGCAACGCAAGGCTGGGGCATAGAATAAGACACAATAGTGTTGAGCAACGGACCACGAAGCGTCTCATTTTTTGGTTAAATGTTACTGGACTGTTCATAGACTTTTTTACTGATATCAGTTGAGGGTGAGGCTACAGTCCATTAGGATGCATCATTCCACTACCTGTCTTTTGCCTGTACAAAAACAAATACAAAAAAAGAAAAATAACGAAACAAGTGAACAACTAGGAAGACTAAAGTCCTCGTTTTGAAATCACTGAATTTATGTGAATTTAAAGTGCAAAACAGAGAACACACATTGTATACAATGACCGAAGTCGCTACAAGCGGGAGCATTTCCTGTTATATGTTGCGCGGGAAATGTATAATCTTAATTCGCCGACAACTCACTGACGATTGTATTCTGTTGGGACTCCCCATATACCGGCTTCTTCGAATTTCAGCTACACGTTTTTGTTGTAGGGGATTTTTGGATTTATAAGGCTTACATTAGCATCGTTCTTGTTGGAAGAGTGCTCTTATATACTGGCGAAATTATTCTGGTGAGTCCACATTACAAGGTGTAAGGCTCACATTAGCATCGTTATATACTGGCGCAATTATTCTGGTGAGTCCATATTAAAAGGTTGAAGCGCTGGACTCGAGTTTTGCTCTTATCAGGGCTCATCAACGTGCGTATCCTTGGCCGTTCTGAGATCTGTACTCCGCATACCTGACATGGGAGACGACCATTATACTCCCAGTGCACCAACGCAAGCGGAAGTCACTTGAAGTATCACGTCTAGACAGGTGAACCTCTGCACCACTAAGCGGTATGACTAGCTGGCCCGACGTCAAATGTCCAGACATCAAACACACTCCCCCACAATCAGGGATACGCACAGCTGAGTAGCTCACTACTTCCCTCTTTCATGTCGATTCAACGTAATATTCGCTCAATGATGGAAGAGCTGGTCGACCAGAGCAACAAGCATGTGAATTTCACCTTCCCTCACTCGAGATTGCGATGATGGGCTACTGGGCAGTTCTATGCTGAAACTGATTCTGTGGTGAATGTTGTGTGCTTAAGTGGAGTCCCTTGTTTTTTTTCATCATTCGCATTAAAGCGCACATCCAGCTTATTTGTTTGAAGTTAACTCCGAACTAAATTTATACGTCAGTCTTATTTTGAAATTTCAAAGGCTCATTACTTACCAAATCACATTTTGCTGGCTCTGGGATGATACGCTCAATAAAAGAGGACAGCACATTAATTTCAATGAAAAAGATAGTCCGGGAAGACCTACTTTCCTAAGAGGAAAATGGAAGAGACAGTTACAGCCCTAAAAGTCAACAAGACTAATTCATTTTGGTTCCAGGTGTACCTTTTGCAGACCAGCCAAACTGTCCGGATTTTTATGTGCAAGGTACCCACTGGGTTTGTTATCAAAACAAATTATTCAGATCTCTGTATGACCGAGATAAAAAATCTTCAGAGCCTTGGTTTAGTTGAATTCAACGGAACAAAATCATCAGTGACGACAACAGGTAAGCGCCTAGACACTCGAATCTTTAGCGCTGAAATTAACCTATTAAGCCTTAGGTAAATTGATGATGAGGAACAACATGGAATTCACCACAATGCGCATGATCTGGGAGTTGAACGGAACGGAATCCCTGGAAGAGTTGGTAAGTTTTTCCTCAAAAAGTTCATGACAGACGGAGATTGTACTTGTGTTACTTGGATGATGGCGGATACTGTTAATTGTTTGTGGTCTTTGGTGGTATAGGCGGAATGCCACCTTTTGCATCTTTGTTGCTGAAACCACATGTATCCGGACCAGAAGCTAGTTTTGAGAAACCGATCATCTCATCCTTTTGGGTCACTGGGACTCGCATAGATTTTATAACTACTCAGTACTAATAAGCAAATCAACAACAAGCTATATCGCCAGATGTTTGTTGTACTGACTTTCACTTCACCGAAGATGTTATTTTTATGAAGGAAACACAGGGTTGCAACTCTTCGACAGCCCACGACCGGTTTTGCGTTTCTTGAGGCTCATCAGGTAGGCGCAGTCAATCGAGTCTCTCGTGAAAACCAAATTGATTTGCAAATTAGTGTATTTCTCAAAAACATTTTATGTTAGCAAATAAAACTGCTCCTAGTAATTGGATGTTGTGAGAGAACAGCCAGTTCTGCGAGAAAATGTTTTGAAGTCTAAGGAAAAATAAAACGGAACAGTCATCTCAATCCACACTTTCCCCTGTCTAAAGGTTCACTTCGTCGGCTGTTGTCCCGAACTGAGCGACATCTCTCTGAGAAACAACGAGAAGGTGCAACTGAACAACCTTAACAGAGCAAGAGGACGTCACGCGTTACGGTGAGTTAAGTATTTATCTGAAAATTTCTGCAACTTTATCTCACTAGCGTGCACCAATTAAAACGTTCGGGGAAGGAGTCCTGTCAAAAGGTGAAATTCTTCTAATCAAGGTTGCTAAGCTGCTGTTTGCTACCGCGGCTTGTTGCTGAAACATGCTTATACAACGAGTCAAATGTGCCAAGCTTGTTGCGCAGATCAGCTTCGCAAATCCTGAAACCATTGCCCACAACCCCACTGAATGGAATTTTAGGTTGATTGTTTTGGCAGGTATACGGAAATTAGTTCAGTGCCACTATAGTGTTTAGGACTTTGCTGAAACCACCGATTTGAAAACATGGCTACATACGATCCAGTCAATTTCTTCGCAGATGATTACTTCCACAGAGATTCGCAAAACAGTGTTATCGTCTTGCGTTTGATGAACAGTACGTGGTTGTTATTGTCGTAGATAATAAGCCAGTGGTCCACAGCCTGAGGAGCATGCATCCTTACTGGACGAATAGTTCATAAGCACCCGAATGGCGTCTAAATTCAGTTGTTCCTGGTTGAGCTCATTAAAACTCCTCAGGCGTCTGAGCCTGTTGCGCTGATAGAGTTCACAGCTAAATGGCAATGCTCACTCTGTTTTCAGAAGCCAGCCAGTCCTACCAAACCTGACTATCTGTCTCTAGTGACTTTCAAATGAAAAAATAGAACTGTATTCGGGTTTAATACATTTCACCATTGTCCTCAAGACGGGAAATTTTGCAATCAGGCAAAAGGTTCGTTCAGCCTACCGATTTAGTCGCGTTATTCCAATGCGGAAAAGTGCGAAAACAACACTGTCATCAATCAACAATGAGTAACACGCATTTCTCAGTAATGTGTTTTGAAAATGGCCTTGTCTGGCAGATACACAGCATAACTGAAGAGAAAACCGCTGCAGAGTTAGTTCATAAATTCCATTTTTGATTGCCAAATCTAACAGAGGAGGGACCTTAGCTTATGATCAATTTGCAAGAAGCTTACCAGCGACAGCGCCGGAGTCACAGCACACAAAAACTGTGTACTGCCTTCGGTAGATTCTCTTGCTAGTCTGGTATCAAAATGGGCTAGACAAAGTGGTGTATTAAGTTACTGTTCTCTACAATGCGCCACAATACAAAGTGGTGTATTAAGTTACTGTTCTCTAAATGATGTTGGTCAGACTCTACAATGCGCCACAATGTCCCTTTGAAAATCTCGAAGAAAATGAACTTTAAGGGTGTTTTTTTTCAGGAAATTGATTAAGGCCAGCTAGATACAGAAGGAAAGAATGGGACACAATGAAGACTTTGGTGTGTACGCGATACTTTGAGCCTCCTGCATGGTTCATCGAATAGCTGACTTCGTTTGAAATTAGACTGCTGAATTTTAATGTACGAGGTTTTGATAAAATTATTAATCTGTTATTCCTGGAAAATTTCGTGCCGCCTTTAGATTGGATATTATATTTTATCAACTTTTTAAGTCTTTGTATTTCTAGTGATCTTACGTAATGGAATATGTTTAATATTTGGCAAATACCATGGTAAAAAAATTATTTTAATTCACGTGTTCCAACCCATTTTTCGCATCCACTGAACCCAACTCACCTCCCTGTGTGTTTTACACAACATAGATTCCTTTCTACTCATGCCGAGCAGTCTAATTCGAAATGGCGTCACAACGTTTCGTGAAGATAAGACATGTTTCATCATAATGATTCGTTGTACCGTTCGTTCCAAGAATCCTCAGTAGCTTATACCTTTGAAGCTACTAATCTTTGCCTTGAATTTGTAAATAGCGCTGTGGAAGTTCAAATACTCAGGACCACCTAGAGTTTTGTCAAGGGATCTAGTGCTGGTCTATGTCAAACATTCAAACCGCTCAATCAGACAATCTGTAAAGAAACCGACAGCACGAACGCCACTGGCGTCGATTAGCCACCATTTCTTGCAACGTCTCTAGCCACGCACAGACTGTCACGGGGTTCCCATCCTGGAAGGCATACAACACCAACAACACCCAAACTAATCAAGATTTCTTTCACGCCTTTCTGCCAAGTCATGTGCTGTCCACCTCGCGGTTTGCGCCATCCTGAAGGAAGCACGGAGAACAACACTCATCTCGCTAGGCGGTGTTTCGGCATGCGTAGCACATGACCAAGCCATCGTACTCGATGGTGCTGGATGTTTTCTTGGATTGAAGTGCCTGCAACACAACCATATACCCATTTTCTAATCACCGCGTTACTAACACCCTGAAGCCATGCAAAACCAGCCACGCTTCTTAGGCATCGGTGGTCGAAAACCTGAAGACGCTTCACATCATTTGTCCACAAAGGCCATATTGCGCACTCATACAACAAGACAGCCCTTACTATAGCCTGGTAGACACGATCCTTAAGATGTAGTGAGATGTCTTTTTGACGCCACAAGTGACGCAAATTAGTAGACGTGATTCGAGCCTTTGAAATTCTCGCTCTGACTTCATCAGACACACTTCCGTCATATCTAATACAACTACCGAAGTATGTAAAGTTTTCCACAATGAGATGAGGCCTTTTGTTTCGAGGCACCTATGCACTTCCTAAACTTCAATCCGATCGCACATTTTTTGCAGTAGGAATCTAATTGGATGTTGCGGGATCCATTCTTTTCCAGTGTTCTAGTTTTGAAATGACGTGCTTCCTCGTGAACGCCAAACGTTCTAATGTCATCGCTTTTAACAACATCGCAGATGTTGAGAATTGCAGCTAGCACTTTTGAACTGTTTCTTTAGGGGCTGATAAATGGAACCGTTCGGTTATACTTTGTGGTGTACTCTAGGTTGAAGAAATCCGGAAAACGTGCTGGTTGATTTTACCAGCTTGTTATTGTCGAATAAATGCGATTAAGTCTTTCAGTATATGTAACAGAATGGGTTCTAGTAAGGTGACAAAAACCAATCAAGAAAGAACATTTAAGTAGATGGTGAGCGGCAACGCAATAATCAATCAACCAATCGATAACAATAATAACTATCAATGATCAACCACCAGTAAATACACCCGAGCAACCTATATTTCGACAAATTGAAGATCAATAATCAGTCGCGGTTACCATCAAGTACTTTTTACCTTTTTCGGTGTTTATAATCTCAGTATTATTCTAATCTCAGGTGTAAATGCTACCAAATAAAAGGACTGTGATTGATTTTGCTTCAGCTATCCACTGAATGGCAGGATCAGCACAGTTCCCATGAAGATAGTTTGCTTGCTGCAGGCTAGGCTGGGAGGTGTTCCACTGGCCGATTTCTCCCTGGAGAATGAAACTCGAAGGATCTGCCGATGCGCAAAGCGTATCGTAAACGGTATGTTCATCACTGAGACAGATTTTCCAAAGACATGTTCCAAAACTCCTCGAGCAAGATTATTTTTTAGAATGTTTTGGTTCGCACAATGCGCTCGCCAATAGAAAGTTGCGTTTTTCCCTAAATCAGCTAAAGCGATAAATAGCCACTGAACAAAGTAAGACACAGCTAGCCGGTGGAATTTTCTTATCCGAACAAGTCTCCAGAAGTAAACTTTCATTGTGTCAAGAAGTAGGCAAGCTATGTACACTGTTGAGAACGTTAAGCGGAGCAGAACTAAAAGATTCAGTATTTTATGGTACTCAAAATCGGACGCGGTTTTGTAACAGTGCGATGTTTGGCTAAACCTCATCTTATTATTGTTGTCATTGCCTCATCTGTGTCCATCTGCGCTTGATTTCGTTATCTAACTTAGATCCGTAGTACAACATCCAGCACTCATGACTTCCACTGACAGCACTGGAATCAACCTAGATGATGACACTGAAATGATAATCAACCGAACCAAAATATCTACATTTAGGAGACCTTACTGGAAAACTGTCCACAAAATCAAAATGTGTCAACTAAAGATGATTACAGACATTGTCAGACATGGCCTAGTTGCGCCCTCAATGGGGCTGATGCATCCAAACTATTGCCTTCAATGCATAGCTCCCTTCCCAAGCCCCCTCCACGTAACAGTCCACCTACAGTGCTGTGTTCACGCACGAATTTATCAGCTCCAGCCCTCAACGCACGGCTACCTACCCCACCTTCCCGAATGATCGGTGAACAAAGCTGTGGCAGCTACAACCACTGTACGACGAGTACGCGGTTATTACAGCTGACCGTGATGATCATGATGATGATGATGATGATGACGATGATGATGTAGTCCATACACCTCTATTTATGCAGAAACAGAGTACAAATTTCGGCGGCTAGACGACAATTTTGGTCAAGTGGAGTTTTGATGGCTTCTAGATTGCCCAAAACTTCACTAAAAATGACTGAACTAATCCAAATTGGAATGAAAAGTACAATCATTACTACCTACAAAGGACTATATCGAGCTAAGATCCCTACTGAAGTCTCACCTTGGTTATCTTGATTTAGGAGGTCAATGTGGAGCATTCATTACGTTCGGCTTATAATGAACTATATCTTGTCCCAGCGGAAAGCAACCACAATCGGGAGGAACACTGTTTCGAGTAAATAACTCTCTGTTAGGGAGTAGAAAGAAAGAATAGTTCAGCAGTGTTTAAGAATGTTTTGCAATCGACGACCTTCAGTATGGTCTGAAAGTTATTGGTGCAGATGTGTTTCTACACAAAGGACCTGAAATATGCTTTGGGATCCGCTGAGACAGAAGTCGGTCAATTTTGCCAACACAGAGGCCACCGTAACAGCAAGTAGACTAAAAAAATTTTTGTGAGACAAAGGAATCACTCAAATTCTGCAAACTAGTCTGGATCACAGCTCTTTGGGTTGTCGGCATCAGACGCAACTGAGCTGTTGTTCACATCAGATTGAAACTTTTGCTAATAGCTACCGAGAATTATACCGAGAATTATACATAAATCTCTTTATTCTTCCCCCTAGTTGTGGTGGTCAGCTTAGTAAATCCTGGATTCCCAGTAAAAGCTAACACGAACAACCTATCTGCGCCTTAAATCAACGCAGAATTAAGCAAATTGGATCACCATATTGGATGGAAGCGTGGCAGCATCATCCTATGTGAACCCAGAACCCAGAGCACAACGACAAAAGAAGAGTTAGCTAAGCAGAATGACTAAAAACGTATGTTAGGCTTGATATCCTGCTGGTTTTCTTGCAACTTGTATGGCGAATCAGGTGGACTCCAACCAGGAACTCTAGAGTCACATCATCACATACGGTAGTAGCATTTGAAGTTCTTCTCCATGGAGGCCTTGGCAGTAACTTGGCGCTGTACCCGATAGGAGGCGATGTCAATGGCGTTTTTAATGTCTTTTTTCATCCAGTGTCTGAATGAGTGTCTGGAGATGTAGGCACCTCGGAATGATTGTTGTAGGCTGGCGTTAAATCCACTTCCCGTCTACTTTTCTTTTTCTTTCTTCTTTTTTGTTCTTCATACTAGGGCTTTCAAATAAATCATGGTTTTACGGCAGTAAATCCTCAGTGTTGAACACTGATGTCGCGCTTTCCATGATGATGTATTTAATATAAGAAGTATGAGTGGCACTTTAAGGAGGAAAAGTAGCCCATAATCTGCATGGAACATTCCTCTGAAGCTCGTCAGTGAGTCAAGTAAGAATATGGAAAAAATCACGTGGTTGTAGGATAGCGCCCGAATATCGTACTTCGGGTTGATTTCTTCCAAATTATCCGTGGCCAGATGTTCCCATGTGGGTAGTAGATGGTACAAATTTCCGTAGACGGCTAGTTAGGTGTGTCGTACTGATATCATTTAGTTGGAGTCGAAAAGCTGTTCAGTGCTTTCATGCTTTTACCGACTTGAAACAAAATATATCTTCGATAAGAAAAGCCTTTGATAACAATCCCCCGCAAAATGCAGGATTCAGAAGTTTTCTTGCGTAACGGGCGGTCTGGTTATACAGCGTCAGTAAATGTGCAGTCAGGCTAATATCCGACCTCATTTTCTGTAGTTTTTATAGCCTTCCATGCGCGAACAGACGAAGAAGGCTCAAAGAATAAGACCGTTGAAAAGTTACTGAACGGAAACAAGTAGCACTGTTGAAAAAAGGCAACAAAGAAACAAGAAACCAATCAATCACGCAAATGTAGGCATGGGGGTCAATGAGTGCTTGATCTTGAGTCCATCGTTTTCAACAGCGTGCGGGAGAAAAGGCAAAGTCTAATTTATACCTCATCTTGCAATTCAACAACCTAATCATAAGCCTTATAATGGTAACCAGTAAGTAAGATAATTGTGCATAGGGTCCACTTTTCCCAAAGATAAGTTTGATTAAATGTTGCCACACTCTTTCGTTTCAGGTTTGGCAGGCCTACTGTGGCTTGATTTGGATGACCCAAATTCCCCAGAAGACCAGCCGTCCACAGCCAAACTCGACACTACTGCAC